TTACATTTTTGTTCTAAAGTCCGCTTTGTATATAATTTTAAATGCATTAAAATCTCTCTTTCACCTCAGGGAAGTGTGTTTCTTATTATCTGTTGTGCTGTTGGGTTTTGGTTCCTCACTTGGAGGCACATTCAAAGAAGTCAGATTGGTACTTTGAGTGCGTTGCGGTGCTTCTGACCATTCCCGGTACCTGTGCCAGGAAACATCCTTTGCACCGTTTAATAACCGTTAGGTCCAGCTCTCCTGTGCTCACGTGAGTTCCTCACCCTAAAGTATTTTTTTTAAATGCATCTGAAACCTGTGTCATTTTGCTAGCTGCATTTATCCCAGAGTCACTTTGCTGCCGAAGTTCTGTGAGAAGAGAAAGTCTTGGAGGTAATGAGGGCCAATCTATTGAGTTAGCAGCGTTTGTACTGAAGATGATCAATACTTCATCTACTCTGAAATCCTCTCTTAAAACAGCAGTGCTACCAAATGCTGCAGTAGAAGGTTCAGTCACTTGCAGCCTATACAGCTGTTGATCTATGAAGAGATTTATGCATCTTGCACTGAATGAATGAAGATTTTCGAATTAATACTTTGGACCTTAAGCTTGATTTTTTTCATTCTGGGTTCTGTACCAAAAAGATACTTCTTTACCAGGAAGAATTTGAGAAAAAAATAGGGAAGTGCTGCATTAGGTTAATATTGGGAGAAATGGTGTACCTATGTGTCACTCACATTTGAGCAAGGAAACAGGCTGAGGGACACCTCTGAATGTTTGATAGCATTAATAACAAAGGGAGAGAATAATTGGAACCAGTGAAACAGAAGACAGGCAGTTCCTCCATCAACATCAGTTTGTTTTAATCTTAAGATAGCTATCATCTTGTCATGTTCAGGTAGACAGCTTGAATTCTTCATACACTGGTGTAACTAGTTGAAATCAATCTGTCCTCTCCTTCTACCAATTAAAATTAATTGACACCAAAAACCCAAACCTTGTCTTCCCTTGGTTTTTTATATCAAGGTAGCCAAAAAGCGTATCTTCTAGGTGAGGACCCACCATTTGAACCATGAAGTAAGCACAGGGGAATACCTCATGCAGCGGTTTGTCATGTTGAAAAATAAATCTGCATTTAAGAGGTGAACTGTATGGAGAACTTTTAGGTTTCTCCATGTATTTCTCTTTCTGATGCCAAAGATCACTTTTATTGACCTTTTCTATTTCAGGTATATTTTGATACTTGAGGCAAGACAGTGCTACCAGCTTGGCTTGAAAAATTTCTTTTTATATGATGTGAGCTGTTCATGATGCAGTCTTGTCACTGACTCAAATCTCCTCCCATTCTGTCTCCCAGCCTGGTACCATAAATAGAAACCTATTCCTTGCCCATCCCAAGTTCTTGGCTTAGAGCTGTATTTCTTGGCTTTATTCAGTGGGTTGTTTACAATACTTAAACCTTGCACCACTCTGTGGGAGGCCCAAAGACTAACTATGGATCTGTGCTTAGCAAACCACGTTATTAAGAGTCTGGTTGCTTGCAGGAGAGGAACACCTAGGAATGGCATTTAGTTAGGTTGCCTGCATTTTACCAAAGCCAGATGTGAGCTGCCTGAATCCTTTTAAGCTGGTATTTTTCATGGCCGCACGTATGTCAGCAGAAAGACTGGGTGGTCCATTTAGGTAAAGGCTGAAGTCTGTTATAGGGTAAAGAAAGTTCATGGGTCTGCTTCTATGCTACCACATTATTAGACAGCAGGAACTTGGCCTGTTCAGCATTGGTTTGCTTTTCAGTATGTAGTTTGCCTTGAGTATTTTTGGTTAGTAGGAAGTGCTGAGACTTGGCTTCAGAAACGAAACTACTGTAGAACTTGATACTATTCCAATCGTGTCAGCAAAATAGGAAACCCACTTGCTGCTGTGTTATCAATTTTGTTTCCTCATATTCATTAAGGCAGAAGCCCTCCCACTAACAAGCTGGTTAAAGATCTTGAGCTCTAGTGATGTACAGTGATGTACGTTTTGAAGATGCAGTGCAAAAATACCAATTATACTAGCAGTCGTTAGTTACTTGATAGTCTTAGCAACTTAGATGCTCTAAGTTGACCAATGCCTATTCTTTGGTAGTCTTAAAGCAAGCATATAAAATGAGTCTGTGTGTAAAATAGCATCATGGAGATTTATATTGGTATTTAGTTTGAAAACTCAAAGTGAAAATAAAGTGAAATATGTGGCATATGTGGGGATCTTGGTGGCCTTGTCTTCAAGTGTACCTTTGTGAAAAAGAGGCATGTGAGAAGCCAGAAGATAGAACACCGTGTGTCTGTATACATACACCCTGTGGTTTTTGATGTCAAATGCTGAGATATCAGATTGAGACTGTATGCAGCAACCAGTATTTACCCTATAACCCTTTCTTTGTCTCTCTCCCTTCCATTGACAAACCAGTCAATTTGGCCTTCTGCCAACACCACCAAATCCTTTTTGGAGCTCTACTGCTATTTACACATTCTTTTGTTTGAGACATCGACAGTTGGTTCATAAATTCAGAGTGCAGCGAATTTTTTTAGAAGCTCCCTGAACGATACATTTCAAAGTAGCGTAGTCAGCAAGATTTCCTCATATTCAACTTTTTCCCACTGCTGGAAGAACCAGAGAAATGCTTCTAAATGGATGATTTAAGTTGTGCAGGAAGGGTAACCGCTGTCAGGAAACAGCTTTGAAGGGGACCATAGGGAATAGTCTAAAGAGCGGGGAAGAGCTGCTGTGCCTGAAAGGTGGATTCTGCCACCGAGGAAGCCGAGTATACCAGAATTAAGATTTTATATTGTGCACTTACTGTGAAGGGAATAGGAACAGGATGCAGATGTGGTGGATGCAGATGTCAAGGTGATGGCCTACACTGTAAAATAACTATCTAGGAAAATCAGTTGTAAGAGAAATAACGCTCACCCAGAAGGCAAAAAGGTGCCCGATTTTATTCTGCCCGGGTGCATTTGACAGGAACTTCTGAACAGCTACACGCTGTGCAGGGACACCCCATGTCCTTCCCACTGAGAAACACCTTCAGGAGGGCGGCTGGAAGGGTGCAGGGACAGAATTGCCCTGTCACAGGAAGCTTACAGCCAAAACGTTACTCGCCCGTAAGGCCAGTGCTGGCCACTACTTGGTTCACGTCAGGAGCTTGTTAACAGCCCAGCCAGCCATTAGGCTTTGGCTAAGGATACTCTTCTGACAGAGGCTAAAACTGAGAGGTTCGATAGATACATTTGCAAGTTACATTATTAATCCAACCGAACTTTCTACTGATCCTTCTTTGTTCCAGAGATACCAATTACTGATCTGTCGTATTTTAACTAACAAGTAAATTGGTTATTAACTTTCTTAACTATTATAGCTAAGACTAATTTAGTCACAAATCCATATACAGCTTGCCCTTTCCTGGTTCCATTTCAGACCCAGCTGAAAAGCTTGTTTGTCACAACACTCGTCCGCGTTTTTCTGAGGCTATGCTGGTTTTGCCTACAATTTCTGCTTATTCTTTGTGTATTAATAGATACACAAAGGTTAGTACAAATACTAGTGTAATTAAGAGTACCCAGAGCACATAAGAGAAGGGAGAAAACAATAAACTGCAAGAGGGAAAAACAAAGGGGAAAAGAGAGAAAGCCTAGGAGCTTGTAAGTAAAGGTATCTCAACATATTACTAGTGAGTAGCACGCTGCAGGATTCGCTGAGCTTGTTTTGTAGGAGGAGGAAAGGAGGTCACCCGCTCGTCAGAACTCTAGGAAGACAACAGTATGCGGGTACCCTAAGGTATTTTCTTTGTCTGGTTATTTTTTCCACATACATTAGGTGATGGTGGGGGGGGAAATAACTCACGTCAAGGCCACATAGGGAAAAGCGACTCCTCATCACCACAGCATTATCCACAGTTTTTTACATAGTGTTTTTTTCACATCCACAGTCTTACAAAACACAAACATTTGGAATAATCCAGGTTGCACATTTCTTACCTTTAGCCTGATTTGAGCCCTCATCATGTGGTGCAGCTGCCTTTCTCACAGAACGGTGGAGTTCATGGATTATAGAAATGCTGCTTTTTTTTCTTGGTGGGCTGCAACAGCTCTTCTTCCCCTACAAATGGCCAAACCACTTACTTCCCTTTCCCTGCTCCCTTTTATCCCCTCTGCAGGCCCACCACCCTCCCAGGTGTGAGACTGCCATGGTGATGGCTTGTTCTTTAACCCTTCCTTGTCCACGTGTTGGGAGGAGCCTGTCCTGCTACAAACCATGCAGCCTTTGCTAGAAAACCAGGGCTTTTAAAGAATTCATCCAACAAATCTTATGTTTTTTGAGAGGTAATTCGGTGGTGCCCTTTCAGAGAGCTGTCCTGAGTCTTACTAAATCAGCAAATATGCAGCTCAGACTGGGCATAAGGTACTGCCCTTGCTTTCTGTTTCTTTCTGAAATCCTGAAATGTTTAAGAGTGTTTACTTGCTCAGCGCTTGTGCATCTCTTAGGTGTGTATTTTCACTAACGTTGTTTCCTGTTGATTCATGTAAATAGTGCTCCAGCAATGGTATGTGGAGTGGAAAAGTGAATCAATTTGGGCAGTCCCCTTAATGGGTGATCTGTTTTGTAATTTGTACAAAGGAATTTTTCCAAGGAAACTGTTTGCTTTCTTCCCAAACACTTTGTTGCCTAACTTTTAGTGGAACAAAACTCTGTCTTTATAGCTCATCTCAAAGTTGTTTCAACTTGCAGTCCAGTCCCCACATCCTCTGTTTGTTCAGCGTTCCCTGGGAAGCTCCACCCTCGCTTCCAGCTAATAACCACGTTAACCCGCAGCTTGGTTTTCCCAGTTTCTCCTTTGCCTGCTCAGCAGCGCTTGCTTTTTCATTGGCCGCCAGCCTTGCAAGCAGTGATCGTCTGCACGTGGTGGCATTTGTGCTGGCAGCGGCAGCCCAGGACTTCTTGTGTCAAGCAGCCTCTTCTGCTTGCTGCGAAGCACAGCATGTTTGGGGGGACGGTCCTCTTCCAGTCTAGCAGCTATGGCAAAGAGGGCAAGCTGCTCTGCTGCCTTGGCGAGGAAGCCTCTGAGCCTGGCGTGAGTTTCACAGGTATGATGCTCAGGGATGTAATGTTGTGCTATCCCTTTCCTGTATTTCTCCAAGTGCTTCAAGGAGGATGTGGGTCCTTTCAAGTCTATCTTTGTCTTGTAGTATGAGACCAGCCGCGGGCAGGACTGAGATTGCCTGCTTTTATCTGGGTTTTAGGATTATTGAAATGCTTCATTTTTGTGAGCAGTTACACAGTATTTCGGAAATAGGGACCACTTCAGCACTTGATGTGACTCTAAAATTTAAGATTTAGCATATACTACCTCCTGCTCTTGGACTGAAGAGATTGGTAGTTGCAGTGTTGGCAGCACAGGGTGGGGGATAAAACCTCCCTTACATGTTGACTGAATAGGAAAAGCATTCATATCCGGAGAGAAGCAAATTGTATTGTGGGAATAAAGAAAAGGAAGGAGATGGATGAAGCATAACCTCCTCACATGACCGTGTATTACTTGTACGCTAAATGATGATGTAAGTTTTCCATTGTATAGGAAATGAAAGTGGTAATATATGATTTATGGTTAGCCTTTAAAAGGAGCTGATATAAAAGAGAACTTCCCAGCTCATTTCCTCACCCTTGGTGTGAATAGAGCTTCCAGACTATTCAGTTGGAGGGGTATCATTTGTGATATGCTTTGGTTATCTTAGTTTCTTTAATGAGGTCTATGCAATTATCATGTTTCACTGACCTTCGATATCCTTACATATTGGATGTCATAGATCCCACACCGTATTGAGCAGCATAGGTTATTATGTAATAATAACCTGCAATAGGTACTTCTATATCCTGTTAAATTCCCCTCTAGTAGATACTGGGTAACCTTTACAGTTACTTAAGCATCCAAGTCACTCTAAAAATGAAAGTGAAGGAAGTTAGTGAGACATGAACCCTTAAAAGCATTTGATTTTTAGGTAATGTGATTTTTAGGTAAGCACTGCAGCTAAGTGATTGAAGCTCCTCATTAAACATTAACTTCTGATGGCTTTTTTTGTACATAAAGTGGGTGTTAAGAACATGTGCCAGCCTCCCAGGCATTCCCGAGGAAGTGGTAGTAGTCCCACATCTGCTTTGAATCCTCACTGACAATCCAGCATAGCACCACAAACGGTTTCATGTGGGCAGAGCTGCTCAGCACTAAGCAGCAGGTGGCATTTCTGCTGGTTTTGCCTTGGCTAAAGTGCCCGCTGCTGGGCTGAGCATGGGCAGGCTTGGCTGGTCATGGGATTTGCTGCAGCAGCTCTGAAGCTGAGCTGACGCTAGGCTGCTTCAGGCTTACCCAGTGCATGGTTAAGTGCTTAACTCCGTGCTGTCTGTTAAGTAGGGGTTGGATGCTCAGTTCATGAGCTTTTCTGGCTTGAGAAAGAAAGTTAAAGTATGCTTTGATTTAGAACAAATGCACATATTTTTGTTTAAAGCCCTTCACATTTCGTCAGATACATAATTGAAAGTAAGAAGTTATTGAAACACCGTTAAGGTATTTTGGAGCTGAAACGTCGGGATATTTTTTGGAAACACTGCCTACTTTTGTGTTTGCTCCTTAGCAGAGATGCGCAAGTCGGATTTCTTGTATAGCCCATTTGCTGAGTGACTTTGCTTAAGGCACTGAAACACTCTAACGCAAGTCACTGTAGGAGTATAAAGAATGTATTATTTAATTAAATGTGTATTTTTACTCCATAAAGAGAGATGGATTTAGGAACTGGTGTTCTTTCCTGGTGCTTAACAACTGGATATGCATATACGCACACAGCCAGCCCTAAAAAATTACAGTGGGATGTTGGCAGCCGTGCTATAATGTAGGTAGCTGAGCAGACATTGGGATTTCCTCTCTTTTCCATGATAGCACCCAGTCTGATGGGTTAGTATATTGTAAATTTAATTGCAGTTGATGGTTAGGAGCAAGAATTGTACATAAATATTGTATCTCCAGATAATGAAATCAAAGAAGTGACATTTTGGTAGCTTAATCTCTAGTCACTTCTGTTCTTGCTAGGATGACCTTGATAGGCTGCTACTGCGGCAAGGCTCGGAGGTAGGTTATTAAGTAATTGCAAGATGAGCAGGTTGTGCAAGCAGTATAACTCTGAATGATTACCAGAAACGCAGTCAAAAACCACTTAGCTACGTGTTTAAAAACAAAACAGAACAAACCTTAACCATTCACTTTCTCGCGTACCTACAATACAGTCCAAAAATTGCATGTAGATGCTGGGAACGGCCCTACGTCCTCATTTTCCAGGCTTGAGCTCTGTCCTGTGACACAGATTTGGCATATGTTTGCCTGTTACTTGGCACAGGCCTCTTCCTGTTTTGTGTCTCGCTGACTTCCCAGTTTTCCCATCCTGTATTGCATTTGAGCTCTTTGTTCTCTTTTAAAGTGCCTTATAGACTAGCTCTTGCTCACGAATGTAGATCTCACGGGAGAGTGGGGAGGGGGGTATTATATACACACGTTCTCTGGCAGTGATCTGCTTAAAAACATCCTGAGCCTGACTTCTCAGCCCCTCAGAAGTGGGCCAAAGCAATGATTGTAAAGTGAAGAAAGCATCTGACTTTAAAGAGGATTTTTTATGTTTGGTGCATTTAATTAAATCTTTTTACAGTGAATTTCCATAAGTAAGTTCAACAAGAGAATTTGGAAATATATATTGGGACAGGAACTTACATCAGTTGTGCCATCAGAGAAAATATTTATATCTTTACACCTTCATCTTTTTTTGCCCCCTGGAGCAGCCCACATGTATGAAACTACATCATCGCTCTTTCTCTTGTCTTAATGTTGAAATTTATTCTGCTAGATGTTCCTGGAAAACCTCTCTATGGGTTAGAAAGCCAATGATGGTCTTGGCATAGCACTACCATGAAGTGTTCAGACAGTTTTGCTTTTTACTACAGTTCTTTCCAAAACCCTGTGTATTTAGATTGCTTTCATCGTCACAGGAACTGTGGAGACTTTTTGTCTATAAAACAAGTCTGATTCTTCCCCCCACTCCCTTGTACTATCAAGTTAGCATCAGTTGTCCTTTTGAAACAGCAAAACAGAACTGCCTGGGTATTCAGAAACACTGCTGCTAAATACCTAGCATCACCCTTACTACTTTCTGTCCCTGTCAGTTTTCCACCTCTTCTTTACACAGCCTTGAAACATATCACAAATTGCCATCAT